TAATCAATACTAGACCTATCAACCTACGATTTCAGGAGCTTCAAGGACGATATGCGATCAGAACGATGAGCAGCAATAACACATATGCCATCAACTCGCTCGCAACATCTTGGACTCCCCGTGGAGGATCTAGAAGGATACCCAGAAAAAAGCTCCCGTTTCCTCCAGCCAGACACCTGGGAGCAATGGAAGACCCGCCGGAGCTGATCCGGGATATCCTAGAGGAATTCCCACTGGGAATCAGATAGCGGACAACAGCGTCCTGGAAAGAGCCGAAATCAGAATTCACCCCAATAGCCTCGGCCTAACAACCCGTACCAAAATACCTATAACCACTGCAACGGACCCGGACCACCCCACGGAACAACGGAAAAAAACAAGAAAAACAAGAGAAACACAAAACAACACAACACTAGTCATCGATACACAACATAACAATAGACACCGTCACACAACACAACACACACACATACAACCCACTAACCCTGAAAAGGCATAAGCCCACACCAGAGGCCCACACAAAACACTCTTCACAAAATGTATTGTAATTATTCATAAAAGATAAATTAACGTTTTTGACTTGACTTGACTTGACTGATTTTTCAATCACGGTTGAACAAGAGTTACGAGCAATCTGTTGCCTTTGAAAATATTGTAGCAGGTATGTTAAAGCTTGCAACGAATACAAACATAGAACAAACGAAAGTAAAGAACTGCAAAATGAGAGAATCAGAAATGAAATGCTTGTCACCCCCAACGTTTCTAGATATTTATCGTCAGTGGCTGAAGCCGTTGAACAAAATTCTATCTAGTTCACAATTCCACTACTAATAAAAAAGGACTTGGACTGCTTCAACATTTCAAGCCTTCATTAATATTATTTCTTGATAACGAAGACAAATAGGCGATTTTCTTAGGTGTGTCACCCATCTTCAGACCATTAATCATTTTTCTCTAGCAAGGTAAATGTAGTTGAATCGGATATCACACAATTTTGCTTTTTGTGACAATGAATTTGTTGGGTGTCAAATCACGAATCGTTATGTTATGACATCAATTTGCTTTGTATGGCACAGTTCTTGGTAGAAGCACTCGATAAGAGTTGATATTTACTTAGAACTTACAGAATGCATTCCAATCTTGTACCACTATTGTATTTATTGTTTATTCACGATCTTTCTGGAATTACTGTTTCTCCAAAAGCATTTTGTGCCGATGACCTCAAGATTTTTGACATGAAAGATATTGCAACTAGTTGCATATACAGATTTATTTTTCAGTGATGTTATGAAAATCACCTCCAATTGAATATTTCCAAAGGTACTCTCGTTATATATTGCAAGGAGTATGAGACAATTGAACAATAATGTTCCAAAAGCCAATATCAAGAGATGTAGAGAGATCAATAACTGGGTTTCATTCTTGATCGTGAATTGATTTGGAAAAAATGTTTTCTTGAGCAAACAAAATATATGGGTTTCTAGTGGGACAGTATATTCAAACAAAAACAACTGTATATTATAGTTAGTCAGAAGTAAAGTAGAATACAATTTCTCTATAATACAGTAATATATATAATCAGTAATTATATCTTCTGAGAGAATCTATTGTCCAAAATTGATTTATAATAATTACTTGTTGTCTAGACATTCGTTACCAATGTATAACAGAAACCATCGATTGTAATTATGTGTCAGAATTTAAATTCAATATGTCATCATTGTGACATTTTCTCCAGTAATGTAAAAGATATATATTCAGTTCTGAAAGTAATTCAGTAGTATCCCTTTAATAATACTATTGCACATGTTTTAGTAGGTAATATCTTTATTGTATATCCTGGAGTTGTTTATTAAATGAATGAATGTTTTATTGACACCTCTTCAGAAACCTCTTGTGGATGTATTTTCTAATTGTTTTACTTTTTGGAAATGAAGATCACTTTTTGAATCTAGTAAATTGTAAATACCTCTGTAATTTTCGATTCTTTATAAAGCACAAATCAAACCTGTTTTTGATTATTCCCGAAATATGTGTAGTCCCTTAGAATACCTTGAAGCAAACAGATGTAATATTCCACGGCCGATAACTGTTTGAAAATCATTTTCCAGATTTTTAGGCCGTGGTCTGCCAGTTTTTATGCCTGACGTTTCGCCTACTACTGCTGTAGACATTGTCAAAGATAATGTGGTAACGGTGGCAGTGCCCGAGTTGGTGCTCGATTTTTTGTTTCCGTTGCGTTGTTCCGAACGCATCGACTACGATGCTGGTTTTTGACACGTCACCCAGAGTCAGGCATAGAAACCTGCAAACCATGGTCAGAAACAACCCGAAGAATAGATTTAACATTTTGTCATTTACCAACAATAATCCTATCATGATGTAACCGGTTATGGGATATCAGGAAGTTTTTCATCCTTATTTTTGTTATCTGAAGTAAAATTGGATGTTCAATGATGTATAGTCTATCCATTCCCAATTGGAACGGCAATGAAAATAAAAGAGTACAATCATAAACATTTCTTGCCTGTGGTCCCTAGTCGCCCAGATAGTTAGTAAACGTGCTATCAAATGTAGTTGAAGAATAAAGGCTCGGCTAGCTGGACTGGCTGAATACTTATTGTTTGTCCGTTTCACAATATTTCTTCATTAGTGCCGTGTGTTCGTGGGGTTAGATGAGGTAGTGAGTGGTTTTGCAAACCGATTTTTGAAAACTTTCATCAGAGATCAATTACCCTAGCACCATCTTCAGGAGAAGCAAATTGATACTGAATCTAAAGACAAGGCTGTTTATATACCTAAAGTTTTTGGTCCGGTACGGACTTTGTTGGTTAACTAATGATTATCCTAATTGATTTTTCGGTAATTAACTAGTGGAACCACTACCTGCAAATTAATTTGTCTGCTTTTTAATCTTTTGTTGACAAATTAATTTGCTGGTAGTGGTTCCACTAGTTAATTACAGAAAAATCAATTAGGATAATCATCATTTAACAAACAAAGTCCACTTCAGACCAAAAAACTTTAGGTATAAAAACAGCTAACCCTTGTCTTTAGATTCACTATCAACTTGCTTCTCCTGAAGATGCTAACCTTGTTAGCGAAACCCGCATCGAGTGCAAAAATATCAGTTTGGTATTATGGTAATTGATCTCTAGAAAAAGTTTACAACTTTTACACCAAAGGTTCCAATCTCATCGTTTAAACTGATTTTTGTGAAAATCTTAGTGTTTTTGGGTACTTTCATCAATATGGCTTTCTGGAGACCTTTTGAAACAAATGATAACATTACGTGTGAGGAATCTGTGTCAATCGACAGGAATCCGGAATTTGAAAATAGAGACTTACACGTTCGAATTCAGCGAGTAATTTTAAATATTCATGAATGCTTGAAGAAGGAAAACTGTCACACTTCACAGAATGCTATTGTGAATAGAATATGCGAGTTAACGAAACTATCTCGTTCGACAGTTCTTCGAGTCATTAAAATAGGGGATGTCATTGACCATGCAATGAAACGAAAACAAAGGAATGAAAAATTCGCAAACGTTGATGGTGCTACAAAAGATGTGATTCGGCGAACAATTTATGGTATATACCATAAAAATGAAGTTCCAACCTTGGAAATGATTTGGTATAAATTACTCGACTATCCCGATTACAATTACAAATCTTTAGGAACTCTACGAAATGTCTCATTGTCTTGTGGTTTCAAATATACAAAATTGAACAATCGGATGGTCATAATGGAATTGACACGCATTGTTCAACTCCGACAAGAATAATTGAGGCGAATGAAAAGATACCGAGAATCCAGCAGACATATAATCTACTTTGACGAAACTTGATTTGACACCCATGATGTTGTCCAATATGGCTGGGTAGACGAAACCAAGTATTGTGTTTTAAACACACCTTCTTCAAGGGGAAAACGTGTTATAATTTTGCATGCCGGGAATGAAAATGGTTTCATACTTAACGCTTTGCTTCTGTCGGCCAAAAATATGAAAGATTCATCTACTGATTACCACGAAGATATGACAGCGGCTTTATTCGAATCCTAGTTCAGTAAGCAGCTCCTCCCAAACTCGGTTATTGTTGTGGATAACGCTTGGTATCATTCTCGGTTATTAACTACAATACCAAACAATAACACAAAAAAAGCAGATATTGTTGATTTCATGCGAAATCATGACATGGAAATACCCGAAAAGATTCCAACGAAAAAGGTATTACTGGCGACCATTAAACAAAGTAATTTCAAAAAAGAGTACCTATATTATTGATTCGATGTGTGAAACACGTGGTCATATTCTCTTACGTTTGCTTTCATACTATTGTGTGTTGAATCCAATTGAAATGGTTTGGGCCACAATGAAAGGAAGCTTGCGGAAATGTAATCAGTCACCGACTTTGAATGCTGTAGTGCTTGACAATATAAGGCGAGTCGTGAATGGAGTAGGTAATAATGATGTGTGGAAGAACTGTATGGCCCACGTTATGAAAGAAGAGAACAAATATTATGTGCAAAGTTCCATAAATCAGATCGTTATTCAAACCGATGATGATTCCACCTCATCCGAATATAGCGAAGAAGCTTTTTTATTTTTCTAGCAATTTTGTTGGCCTCTATTATTATGTAAATAAATGTTGGACGATAATTTGGTGTGATTATTTGTGTTTTCATTGTATTTTAGAGTTTTCGACTCGGAAATCAACTACCTTAAATTTCGAAGTTTTTCATAATTTTCCTTGGTGGAAAAATTCAGTTGAGATAACTTTTTCATGGGGTAATCAATTTCTATGATTGTAAGAATAAGTAACTGAAAAACTACCACTGAAAAATAATATGCCGACGCCTATGTCGAGGCGGAAATTCCTTCTCTGTGCTGTTCCAATTGGTATTGGAAATACTATACAAGAAGAAATAGATATTTGATATCATCCTATTTCAATAAACAACTTTTTTACTCATTGCATTTAACAAATGAAGGATCAGTTTTTGTATTTGATAATTTTATTATGTATTCTTTCTGTTACCTCTGAAATTATAATAAATATTCACGTGATTATATTTTTATAAAAATCCACTAAAATGAATTTCACTTTTCACTTTAGACACAATTACATGTTCTTTTGGGGTAGCAATATCCTGCGTGGTTACCTTTGTCAACACATTGTAATCTGCAAAGTTGGGGGTCACAGAAATACCACGAATATTTTCCAGATGCCGCTAATATTCCTGAAAAAAGACAAACATATATTGTACATCTTTTCCACTTGATCTTATCACTAAGGTCTTAAAATATTTGTTTAAAATTTATATACCCAATTTTTACACGTATTTTGATCAAACATTGTGTATCATCCATATCCATTTTGAGAACAACATGTGAGTCACAATCCATTCAAGCATATATATTTTTAAAAATGGCATTTTGAAAATATTATGTATACTCATGTATACCTTCAACAAAAGAAGAATGGATGAGAGGATTGTTTGAACATTTGGTAGAATATTAAACAGTACCTTTCAACCGAAGAATACCTCAGGGTAGTTGACAGCTGGTATTCATTGACAGTTTTTGTTGAAGAAGTATTTTTTTATGAATTCAATCTCAAATGTATCGATACGGTGTTACCTCAATATCAGGTATGAACGAATTGAAAAATAATAGAAATTACGAATAAAATCTTACCCAGTTGTTTCTGTCTTATTTCAATTTTCTTTCTAATAATATTTCTCTTGTCATTATGATTCTCCCTTTTCAATTTCTCTTCTTCCTCCAGTTGTTTTTCTGCATCCTTTCTTCTCTTTTCTTCTTGTTTCTGCAGTTTTTTCTGAAGTTCCTTCTCTTTTTTTTTCGTCTTCTCTTCAAGCTTTTTCAATTTTTCTTGCCATTTCTCTTCTGCATCTTTTTGCTCTTCTTGCCATTCCTCTTCTGCATTTTTTCGCTTTTCTTGCCATTTTTCTTCTGCTTTTTTTCTCTTTTCTTCTTCTTTTCGTAATTTATCCTGTCGTTTCTTTTCTTTTTTCATCTCCTTTTCGTTCTTTCCATCGTGTTCTTCACTTCCATCACTGTCACTTTTCTCATCTTGTTTTTCATTTTCTTCGTTGGAATTTTCATCTCTTTCTTTTTCTCGACTTTCGTCTTCTTGGTTTCTGACTTCATCTTCATCTTCTTCAGGGAAATTGCTATTATTATCACCGTCCCTATCCTGTGAAGAATCTCGTTCAGCTTCATTCCCATTGTCTCCCTTAGTATTATCGGTATTTTGTGTTTCCTGGGGTTGATGATTACTAGATTGGTCTCCATTAGTGTTATTATCTATTTCTCCAGATGCTGAATTGTTATCTTCAGAAATTTGGTTTTCTTTTCGCGATGTATCTGGCCGTTCTTCTTCTTCCCTTATCTCATTTCCGTTCTTTTTATCCTGTTCTTCACTTTCAACGTCATCATTGTCACTGTCGTCCTGTTCTTCATTTTCTTTTTTTGTGTCTTCATTTCTTTCTTTTTCCCCACTTCCATCCTTCTGGTTACTAACTTCATCTTCTTTTTCTCCTGTGTGAGCATTGTCACCGTCCTCATCTTCCACGGAATCTAGTTCAGCTTCATTTTTTTTGTCTTCCGTAGTATTATCAGTATTTTGTGTTTGTTGAGGCTGCTGATCAATAGATTGGTCTCCACTAGTGTTATCGTCTTTCGTTTTTTCCATTGCAGAATTTTCAATTTCAGAAACTTGGTTGTCCAAACCATTTTCAGATTTGTCTACATTATTATCATCATTTCGACTTTCATCAGCACTGGTCTGTTCAATCACCGACTCATTACTATTTTCTTCTGGTTCATCTTCAGATTCCTGCTGATTTATTTTTTTGTCTGCTGACTGCTGATTCGGTTCATCTTCTTGCACTGAATTTTGGGCAGTGTCTTCATTGACAGAATCATATACAGCATCTTTTCCTGATTCATCAATTACAACATCAACAATTTGTTCATTTCCTGACTCCTTTTGAGATTCTTCATCATCGGCTGAAATTACGCCAGACTGACCGGTTTCCTCGTCAGTTTCAATTTTGTCGTCCAATTGAGGCGGGTTATCTACAGCGATGGGCTCACGTGCTTCATTGTTGTTATTGTTTTCTTGAACTTCCTCCCAATTATATTCATTTTCATTTTGTTCCTGTGATGCTCCTCCCGCTACATTTTCTGTATCACTAGAATGGTTTTCTGGATTGTTATCTGCATTTTCCTGGTCATTGTTAGCCACAGTTTGTTGATTTACTGAACCGCTATCATCTTGTCCAGTATTTTCCGACTCTGGTAATATTTCAGAATTGTTATTGGAGTCATCAGATGTTTCACTGTTTTCTTGAGCATTATCAGATACAGTTTCTCCATCAACAAGATCAGTATTTTGAGAACCTTCATTTTGTTCAATATCTGCTTCATTCTTTTGATTGCTTTCTTCAATTCCTTTTTCGTTGTTCACTGGCTGATCTCCATTTCCTCCATTATCGGTATTTTGAGCAGCTGTAGTCCCAATATCTGTATTTTGATGAGCACTATTTTCTTGAGCAATATCAGACACAACCTCTTCATTTACTAGTTCTTCTTGCTGAGCTGGAGTTTCGTTATCTACAGCGATGGACTCACCTGCTTCATTGTTATTTTTGTTTCCTTGAACATCCTCCCCATCATATTTATTTTCATTTTGTTTTTGAGAACCTTCTCCCGCTATATTTTCTGTATCCGGAGACTGGTTTTCTGGATTGTTATCTGCATTTTCCTGATCATTGTTAGCCACAGTTTGTTGATTTACTGAACCGCTATCATCTTGTCCAGAATTGTTATTAGAGTTATTGAATGTTTCACTGTTTTCTTGAACATTATCAGATACAGTTTCCATATTAACAAGATCAGTATTTTCAGAACCTTCATTTTGTTCAATATCTGCTCCATTCTGTTTATTGCTTTCTTCAATTCCTTTTTCGTTGTTCACTGGTTGACTTCTATTTTCTTCATTATTGGTATTTTGAGCAGCTGTAGTCCCAATGTCTGTATTTTGTTGAGCATTATTTCCTTGAGCAATATCAGATATAACCTCTTCATTGACTTGTTCCTGTTGCTGAGCTGGAGTTTCGTTATCAACAGCGATGGAGTCACCTACTTCGTTGTTATTTTCATTTTCTTGGACTTCCGCCTCATTATATTCATTTTCATTTTGTTTTTGTGATGCTTCTTCCGCTACATTTTTTGTATCCGGAGACTGGTTGTCTGAATTTTCCCGATCATTGTTAGCCTCAGTCTGTTGATTTACTGAACCGCTATCATCCTGCCTACTATTTTCCTCCTCTGTTAATATTTCAGGATTGTTATTAGAGTTAGATGTTTCACTATTTTCTTGAGCATTATCAGATACAGGATCTCCATTAACAAGTTCAGTTCTTTCAGAACCTTTATTTTGTTCAATATCTGCTTCATTCTTTTGATTGCTTTCTTCAATTACTTTCTCGTTGTTTACTGGCTGACCTCCATTTTCTCCATTATCGGTATTTTGTACAGCTGTAGTCCCAACATCAGATACAGGATCTCCATTAATAAGTTCAGTTCTTTCAGAACCTTCATTTTGTTCAATATCTGCTTCATGCTTCTGATTGTTTTCTTCAATTACTTTCTCGTTGTTTAATGGCTGACCTCCATTTTCTCCATTATCGGTATTTTGTGCAGCTGTTGTCCCAATATCTGTATTTTGTTGAGCATTATTTGACATAACCTCTTCATTGACTTGTTCTTGTTGCTGAGCTGGAGTTTCGTTATTCATATCAGTAGATATAACTGAATTGTTGTCATTTACAATGGGGTTATTTTGTCCCTCTGTTTGTTCATCTAAGGTGATATCTTTTTCCGAATCCTGCGATTGAGTGATCTCTGACGCTTGTATGTTTACTGTTCCATTTTCAATTTGCTTCATGTCGGATTCAGTTACGTTATTTGAATTGTTCTCACTCTGGGATGTTTCATTATTGATGGTAACCGATGTACTAAGACCTTCAGGTGTAGTATCTTCTCCAGGATCGGTGCCATCTTCAATACAAGTCTCCTGTGAATCGAGAGTGGTATCTCTATTAATATCGTTGACATTTTCATCAAGATCTGCTGCGATGTCACCTGAAAAAATCAAAGGATTTTGTGATTGCTGATTTCATTTTTTATAACATCTCAAAAATGAAGGAACATGGTTGATTCAGAATTATGGTAGTGTACATTTGATTCACCGAATCATTATCACCACATACCTACCTCATTTGGTGAAAAAATGGTGAAATGAAATGAATTGAATGGGTATATCATAGGAATGTTAGATATATTCGGACTTTCATTGTCTAAAAAAGTGTTGACCAATTTGAAATCTGAGAGAGGATGAATGAATGAAATAAAAATAATACTGCAACTAAAATATTCTGATGAGTTATCCAAAAAATGTATTGATATGAAAAAAAAATTAATAATTCCACAGGTAACTGAAACTCTGAAAATTAATATATGAAAAATGTATTTATGTTGAAATATCTATTCGATGTAAATTTATACCTACTAAAAAAAGTCGGTTCTTATGAAAATTGAAGGGTTGAAATGGATTATGTTCTCGTATAGAGGGCAAACCTAAAAGGTTCTGATGGAGGGCAAAATCACAAATATTTACCAATCCATGTGATAGGTAAAGGAGTGCCCGATGTTGCTCGAGTCACGATCCTATATCCATAGAAAAAGAACATCACTTTGTATGTGAATAACGATATGGTATCCTAAATAAACAAGGTGTGAAGGTTTTTAACAGTTTCTTTGACAGGGCACGCATTTGCCATCAGACATACGATTTGATGTATTTTGTAACCATCCACATGTCATCGTCAGTAGAATGCGAAACTTTCCTCAAAAATGTTGTCATTTTCAATGGCACACCCTGTATTTCACCTCATTTTTGAATTCTTCCCATGTTTTAGATTCTAACTCATATATCATACCCTATACCCAAAATGAACCGTTTTCGAGTTATTCGAGTTTTTTTAGAAAAAATGACTGATGCAGCCTCTCGAACATACACCATTTTCATGTAAATTAACATTTTCAAAAATATGCAGCTAGTGGATCGTGATAATTGAAGGATCACGCATCATTTTCACGTCCACTGAATAATCGGCAGGGTGCGCAAAAATTAGGGTCCAATAAGTGAATGAGAAAAATAAAAAATCTCAACTTTTTCAAATGGGAACCCCATTTGTTTCCTCGAGGTTCAATTCCATTATGAAAATAAGCCCTTCCATATACCCAAAACTTATAATTTTGGTGATAAAATTTCTCTGTGGCCTGGTTTCTATTGAATATCTCATGAAAAAGAATCCCATATTCAAGACAAAAATCATGATTAGAATAAACAACAATTTCAAATTTAGTTTCAATGCTAAATAAGAACATGTGACACTTTTATCAACCGCTTTTTTATTGTTCAAATACATTGCCTCCAACTTCTAAGCATTTTACACTGCTCCGTATGACGTATCCTACAGCTCGTTTTATCATGTCCGGTGGAATAGAATTGAAAGCAGTACGAACTCTCTGCTGAAAATCTTTTTTTGTTGTTGGCGTGTTAGAATATACCTCGTTTTCTATATAACCTCAAATAAAAAAAATCCATTGGAGCTTAATCGGGCGATCGCGGTGGCCATAATTTAGGACCGTCAGTTCCAAACCACTGGTCGTAATAAGTTTCTTCTGAATACATCTTCACCATCTGATGATTATGTGGAGGTGCTCTATCATGTTGATACTAAATTTTTCAACGGTCAGCGAGCGTCAGTTTTTCCAAATTATCCGTATCGCGATTTTTTCGAATATCTAGGTATTGTTCACCTGAAAATGAAAATACCTGTTGGTCTGTTATGTATTTTCTAGATGCTATGCATGTTTATTACATGACTAATCTGATGTCATTTCCTTTAGTGATGTATTTTATTTTTTTTTAATCAATAAAACAATGCAATTCCGATACTTTTCAACTAACCATTTGAATTTTCGTCATAGAAGTAAAGCATAACTATTGCGTCGTCTTCAACAGCGCAGTAAACATTTAAATTCCAACGGTCTTGAAATTGACGTTCCCGAACTGAATGTGGGTTTAAATGTATAGATCCAGTAGTGAGAATTCCGCTTGTTGAATATCCTATTTTTGGTAAATTTCGCTTCGTCGCTCGTCGCATATAATATTCCTCAAAAATTGGTCGTTTACTTGATTTTTCATAATGAAGAACTCCGCAAAGTTATTTCTTCTCTTATAATCGCATTATCTTCATTGTCAACCACCGTTTTAGTTTTGATAATTTTCCTTTCGAATGATCCAAAGTTCTCAAGATTGGAGAATGATCTTCTAATGATATCTGGAGATGGTTTCGGTTTTTCTGGATACCTTGTAGCATAAGCATCAGGTTCTGGTTAACACCTTCGCATTCGCCATAAATCACCAATAAGAAATCGGGATTATTATAACCAGTAAGAGCCATATTGTACCTTCTGAGAGCACGAATCTGACAATAAACAATTTTATTTCATTTGTCACCAAACATTGTGATGAAAGATGGACAGCAGCTTACTAGAAATATCAACATTTCGGGAAAGTATGTAAATATAGTGGAATATCTTCAAAATTATAAGTTTTGGGTATAGGGAAGTGTATCATAACTAGGGCTTATTTTCATAATAGAATTGAATTGAGGCTGCATCTGTCACTTCTTCTAAAAAAACTTGAATAACTCAAAAACGGTTCATTTTGGATATAGGGTATGATGCATAAGTTAGAATCTAAATCATGGGAAGAATTAAAAAATGAGGTTAAATATTGGGTGTGCCATTAAAAATAACAAAGATGACGTCACTTTCGGTGAAACCCGTATTCTCCATTAGTTCTTCATTCATCCTATCAATTTTCAGAATCGCCCTACTTTCAGTTTTCTATATATAGATCGCGTTAACTCGTCAAGATATACCCTGTATATGGTGCATATGACATGCCCATGTTCACGTAAAAAACACCTTACCCCTGTCCTCTTATGTGGACCTACGACTTTGTAGGTACGCGTGACGGATACCCGACGGAAAAACAATAAATAACTCAGCTAATGTCGCTCAGAAAGCTGAAGCAAAATCATCAGGCACGGCACCTGTGCAATGTCTTCCATTTGGAAGATTTCTCGCAAGTAACTTTCTATATATGAAAAGCAGATATTGATTTCATTTGGTCGGGACGATCACCGATATAGATCGGTTTTGGGGTAGTTGCCTCTCGTCAATACCGGGCAGGTAATTTCAGACAGAGTAAACTGTCTGACTATTCGGAACAAACAAAGTTAATTTCAACTAGTCATACGTTCTATCTGCAGTTGATTCAGTAGAATGTCCACTACGCCACCTGCAGACAAAGTCCGGAAACAACTTCACAAACACATATCCCGGGGTGGGAGTCAGAATAATAAACATATTTCGGAGAGGTGCATATGACACGCCCAAGTTCAGGTGAAAAACTCCTTACCCCTTGCCTCTCATGTGGAGCTATGACTTTGTAGGTACATGCGGCAGATACCCGATGGAAAAACAGAAACTGACCCAACTAATGCCGCGCAGAAAGCTGAAGTAAAACCATAGGCACCTGGGCAACGTTTCTCATTTGAGAGATTCGTCGCAAGTAATGTCCTGTATATTATGAGAAGCAGAAATTTATTTCATTTGGTTGGGACGACCAACGGTTTCGGGGTACTTGCTCCTCGTCACTACCGGGTAGGTCATTTCAGACTGAGTGAACCGTTTGAATATCCCGAACAAAGTATCCGTTAAGTTCACACTCAAAAATACCAAACGATCCTGCGATTTTTATTTCACGCGGTAGACTGTTGAAAAAACGGCAGTTTGCACTGGGAAAGCTTTATTGTGATATAGAGTGAGCTGTTGAAAAACTGGTTTGAATGTTCAAATTTGGCAGCTACGTACATTCTTTCAGAGATTTTTAATTTTTTTATGTTGGTGCACTCGTCTCGAACATATGTTCACAGGTTTAGCTGTTTATTATATTTAGTTTGTTGGTGAGAGGCATAAAAGGGGCATAGAAGTGCTCTGCATGTTCGGTGATTTTCTGCTTTCAAATAATATAGATCAAAGAATGTGCATCAAATTTTGTGAAAAAAAATGGAATTAGGTGCTCAAAAACACTCGAAATGTTGACAGTACCATAAAATGACTGTACTTCGAGTGAGAAAAATGTTCCCAAGGGCTTTTCAGAAAAGATCGACAACCGATGAAACTGTTCAGAAATTGAAGAAAATTGTTAAGAAGAATCGTCGAACCACTATTAAAGAAGTTGTTGAAGATGTCGGTATGGCGGCGGGCTCATGCCATGCAATTTTCTCGTGAATTTTGAGCATGAAGTTCGTGTCATTGATGTTCGTTCCAAAATTACTCAATTCATAACAAAAAAAAACGTCGCATGAGAATTGTTGTTGCTCAGTAATTGTTGAATAATGTCAACGGCAATCCATAACCGGTGACGAATCATAGGTATATTGTTATGACATCGAAACCAAACTCCAAATGTCCCAATGGAGGAGTCCAGGAGAGCTAAGACCAAAAAAAACACCAAATTCTATCAAATGTCAAGGTTTTGCTGTTCTCTTCTATAACCGTGGCGTAGTGCAGCAGGAGTTCTTGCGGTCAATGGTCTTACGGTCAATGATGAGTAATATCTTGAAGAGACGCAATACGATATTGTGGAAAAATAATTCATGGCTTTTGTATCATGATAATGCGCCTGCTCACTCATCATTGCTCGTTCATAATTTTTTGGCCATGCCAAAGCTACCGTAATCACCAGATTTGGCTCCCTGCGACTTTTTTCTGTTTCCAAGATTGAAGAGACCCATGGAAGTACGACGTTTCACCACGATTGAGGAGATGAAAACCGAAATGCTAGGAGAGCTCAAGGACATACCAAAAAGCGCATATCAGAACTGATTCGAGGATTGTAAAAAACGCTGGCACAAGTGTGTTATATCTGAGGGAGACAACTTTGAATGACACGAAATAGAAATTGATGAATAAATGGATATTTCTTAAGAAAATCAAAATTCACTTTATTTTCTTAACAGAACAGTATTTCACTACTTCTGCATTCTAAAGAGATGTCATATAATAAAATCTGTAACTGTTTGTATAATCAACTATCATCATTGCATTTCGTGAAACAAACTACTCCCACTGTGTCTGTACGTCTGAATGCAATAAACGAACGGAAATTCATATGATTTTCAACAATGAATGACGTCATTCAGTAGGGAGATTCATTGATGTTTTTATCAGTTGGTGAAATATGAAAATATTATTAGTTCACAGCCAGGACAGCGGTGCTATCTGTGGTGGATACGATATCAATTCTTATCAAATTGAATACGTTTGTTACTTTGAGTATTCCATGTATAATGTACATGGAATTTCCCTTTTCACTATAAAATTCAAATTAATATCTGTGGAGGTATCGTGAAATTGAAACCATCGCGCGACAAAATAATTTCAAGTGACCTGATGCGTTACATATGGTACATACGAGCATATGTATACAGGTACATATTCTCAGTTATCCATGTATAGCCCGGTCGGGTCATAATTTTACATTTCGCAAATATATCTGAACTCAGATTTCACAAAAAAATGTCTATCGAAAATGAGAAAGATATTTACAATTCCCGAACTGAAAATCCAGAACTGTCTCAGAAAATGCTATAGTTTGAGTTTTTGATGACACTTTAGGAATGTTGAAATGATGAATCTTTATATTTTGTTCGATTATTTTTTTCTTTAGACTCTGAGTCATTCACAAATTCAAAATAAATAGTCAATTTTCACAAAAACATGTTCAGAAGTCAACGGTTTCTATTTCAAATTAGCTCATTTTATATTTTCATTTTTGTTGAGTCTGAAATATAATTTGGTGTCTGTTTTCCTAATTTCAAGAAATAGGCAACTTCATTAGCACAGAAACTTTTTGGGGTATACATACTGTATTTGTTTATTTTGTTTTTATACTTGAATAGACTTTTTGATAAGTATTCATCATATTTCGATTGTGAAAGTTTGAATATCCTGAACAACGAAAAACTGGTAAAAAATGGTAGGTAATATTTTTAGAGGAAAACTGAACTTTCACCAGAAAAACTACAACAATTGCAGAATATTTGTCTTCACCTGGTTATCTGACTCTCTCGCATCATCATTTGCTTTTCCCAAAAATGAACTATATTCAAAAATAAGCAATTTGGATGGAGGAATGTAAAAACTTTGGATATTCATCCATATTATTTTATCTTCTCAAATTTGTTCTTTCAAAGAAGCCGATTACTAATCAAGATGATTACTAATTTCTATATTTTTGAGGGAAAATTCAAAATACAGTTCGGCTTCTATATCGATTTGAATCGTACCCTCATCACGATTTTCATCAGCATGAAAACTTTCTGGAGTACTTTCTTCGGTTTATTTACAGTCAATATATATTCTTTACAGTTTATGTTCAATACATACTGGCATAGTTTTTCTGATAAGCATTCATCATTTTTTTTGTTGACAACGGAAGGTTGAAAATCGCAATCAATAGTTAAAAAACTGATGAATAATAATAAAACTTCAAGAGAAAAATGGAATGGTTGAAAAAATTATTCATAGAGTTCCTACAACTAAAATAAACGATCATTCAATAATTTATTTCATTACCTCGCTGGTTATCTGACTTTTCTCTACCATCATTTACTAACTGAGATTCATTTTCATCACTCAGAAATGAACTATAATATTCGAAATTCTTCTCATTTAACCACTTAACTTCGTAGGCATCGTTATCAACGACGTTGACCCGGTCAACAAAGTCACCAGGAATAATAGCCGCTGTCGAAAGCGCGAAACAAAAACTCAATATCAATCTCATTTTACACTTTAACATTTCGTTCGTTTTGTTCGTTCGATTTGAAGCCGAAACAAATTTTTGTTTTTTATATACTTTTCAACGAGAACAATACCTCTTGTACAAATATGCGTCACCTCTTTATCTGGCCTTTTTCACCATAAAGTTTTTAATTCTCAATGGTGGTAAATAATGATAATACTATTTTATTTCATATGAGTTATGCTGTGTTAACAAAACATTGGATAATGTAATAAACTACTTTGGGGAAAATAACATTTGAGAACATCCTATGCTGATTACATGGAAAATTCCTTTCGTGAAAGTAAGGAAACTATCTTTCAAGATTTAAATGTTTGTCTTTTTCAGTTGAGGAAGTCGGACACTTCTCTTGGAGAAAGAAAAATCTGAAAATTTAGCCCAACAAGCATTTTGCCTGAATCAAGTATGTATGTAATGAAAATGAAATTGAAAATCATGAACAGTATGATTTAGAACACTATAATTCAGCCGTTCAAATTTTTTGATTTTGTAACATTTCATAGTGAAAATCACTTGTTAATTCATGTTGAAGTTTTTATAAGTTTTCTATAAGTCCTCACGTTCTCAGGTCGATTATCAATATGATTTTGTAATAGACAATTTTTCGAAAACTTTCATCATATAACGTACTCATGAATCACATTGGGCAATGTGGGTTATACGAAGATAAGAAAGAAAGCAATCTTGCTTCTAACCAGTGTAGAATTCAAAAAATAAATTCACGCTAGAAGTCTTGATGAAGGCTAGAATCAATCATAATCGAAGAAACGAAGATTATAACTGTTTTATATATAAAGTAAGGGCACTATCTATGGGAATAATAGAATATTAAATACACGAAAATCGAAGACAAACGAAGCATTACGAAGCGGTCAGTTGCAAAGTCAAGTTTCGATGAAAAATGAAAAATAATAGTGTTGATAATGCTTGTTTACCACTTTTAGTTGTAACCAACTAACGTTACTGTAGTTATGCAGTTTCATATATAAATCAATAGATAAGTACTAATCTGATCACCCTCATATTGATTTCAATTCAAGAGCCACCGGTAGGAAAATTACTTGATAAAAATAACTGCGTAAACGCAAGCGAGACATAAGTGGAACCACTTATGGATAAAACAGATAAAACAGATAAAACAGTTACATACCTGTGCTAAGTGAAGATATTTTCTTTAAACATTTTAATTTTGGAAAGAATTTTCAACATGAGAATGACCATTTTTTGACATTGAACAATGTGGAAGGTTATAAAAACAAAAAACAGTATAAAAGATGAAACATACTCTTTTTATTTTTGTTCATCTTGGTGATTTATATTGTTTCGATATTACAGTATTTATTCAATATAAATCACCACGATAAATAACATTGAAAAAATAAAAATATCCTCACATAGCATAGGTATGTGACTGTTTTATCCTTTATTATGTTATATGTATTGTTATAAAAAGACTCAATAACAACAATCGATGAAGATATGCACAGCATCTCAGAAAAATTCAGATGAAGAAGTACAGCGAGGTCATCCTGTACATGCCTAGAAATCCACATAATTGACATGAAACAAGTACAAAAATGTGGGAAAATGAAATTTCAAAATTTGTGTACCAAAATTTATTAATTTTCGTAAAACAGACAACCGGTAGAGGTTGTAAATTAATGTCAAAGGAAAACAAAATGATATCGTTTAAATAAATTGGAAGGGACATCATAAACTTGTAAATATTTAGAAATGATGAAAAGTTTGAGTATTATTGTTGTAAACCATTTCCCTAGTTACGGACATCGGATGATGCTCATGAAAAATTTTCATATTTAGACATAAGTGAGGTTAACCAGTTATTTACATAATTTTTAAGTAAAGATGTATTTAAATTTAGTAGCAAAATTGTAGAACAGATAGTTTTTATGATATCAGAGTTGAAAATTTGAAGTTATGAAAATGTATAGTTGGTAACTAAGGAAGGTGGAAGATTTTCAACTTTTTTATCAACAAGAGGATTCTTCTCAAGGCGACGAAGGTGAACGCCACGCTAATTATTCTCTCCAGAAAATTAAATAAAATTTAATAGAAAAGTTAGAAAATAATATATAATCATATTGAATAATAGTAATTAAATGCAAGTATAATAAAAACCAACCTGTAT